TTCCATAGCGCCGCCATTTTCGCGCCCTCGGTAAGCGAGGGCAGGGCGCGAAAATGCGGCGCGTACCTTTTTGGAACCGCCGATCAGCTGTTCTCCTCCGCTTCGTTCTGCGAAGATCGCTAAGCGAATCGCTTAGCGATCATCGCAAAGCGAAAAAACGCCATAGAGGCCATCGCTGAGCGAACGCTCCAGCGATGGCCCGGACCCCCTCGCTATGCGAATTCATCGCATAGCGAAGCACTCGCTAAGCGAGGCACCACTGTATTTTCAAACTGTGGATAAGTGATTCAGTGAATCCTGATCCCACGAATATTGGGGGGATCCTACTGTACTTTCTGCGCAGACTAATACATACTTCTAAGCTGAGATCGGACTTCAACAAACAAATAGAAATGTCAGGAACATTGACTGTTTTCCTTTTGATTAACCATTTCATTCTCCCCTTTAGGTAAAGGTTCCCCTTGACAATTTTTGTCCAGTCGTGTTCGACTCTAGGGGGCGGTGCTCATCCCCGTTTCCAAGCCATAGAGCCAGCGTTTTGTCCGAAGACAATCTTCCGTGCTCACATGGCCAGTGCGACTTAGACACGGAACACTGAATTCTCCCCTTTATATACCACCTTTATACATCTGTACAGAATCATAGACTATAGCTGGAAGGGGGCCTCAGGGGTCTTCCTCCTTGCCAGAGCAGAGCTCCCTTGAGAAATATGCCTGATCATTGGAAGAAATGGGATGCTATAAACAGGATGGGCCACTGGACTGAGTGAGCAGGATCTTTCTGTTCTTCTTAAGTGGCGGGACGACAGACATTTCTTCAGGGAGAGAACCATGGGGTCAAACTAGACATTACATGTAACCTGTCCTTAGTAGGACCCTCTGAAGTGCTTGAAGGATGTAGGAATGCACACTGGCTTTCTTTGCAAGTAGGATTGCTCAGGCATGAAGCTCAAAAGAATTGTTTTGATTCCGAGTAAGTGTGGATTTTATGTTTTCAGAACTGGGGAATTGAACTTCCCTCCTCCTCCATTTCCTCTCAAGGATGTGATCACGCAGACACCATGATTTCGGTCAAACTTTCCTTTCCTTCGCATTCATTTCACTCTCTTCATGAGCAAGAGTCCTAGAAAGCTATGATCTTTTGACTGGTTTAAAAAAACTATTATACTGTATAACAGCTTTATAGGAAACCCAGTTATTCTGATCAGGATTGTGATATATTTAAATTATAATAATTTGCTCCTTCTATAAATAGGAAGGAATGTATATAGATTTTTGTACAACTCAACATACAAATACATTCTTTCATACCCCTAAATGAACATGTGCTAATTGTATGCAAACCAATATTCTTCCTTTGTTGATTTACATCCTTTTTAGGCAGTGTACAAGCAGCCAAACTGTACAGTATATTTGCCACAGAAACTGAGCAGCAAATGCTGCTCCTGCCCACATTGTGCCTAAAGAAGCTGGATGTTTTTCAATTCAGCTTCTACCAAGCTTAACCGCAGAGCGGGCTGTTCTGAGGTGCGAGTGCAGGAGAACAGTGCATGAATACAAAAGGTCTCGGGGAGAAGGAAAGACCATCGTTGTCTGAATGTTTAAAGCACAGCTAAAGCACGAGGCCAAAGGAAGAGAGAGGTGATCGGAGGAGAAGAATACCGCGCTGTCCTTAATGACTGCCACGGGGCCTTTGCAGAATGATAACAGCCAAAAGCGGAAGGGGGGGGAAATAATCATCACATTGCTTTTATGCCTCAGATCCCCCTGCGTCTTATCTCCAAGTGATAGCTGACTTTGCACTTCTTTTCCAAATTGCTTCCATTCTCTTTTCTTTCCCACGCGCCCGAATTCTATGCGAACAATCCAGGGCTGTTACGTAAAAGGAGGCATATCTAAGTTAGGAGCATTGGTGGGGGAACAAAATGTTAAGGATCTAAAATTTCAGGGCCCCCCCCAAACCTTTTCTTTTTTTCAGGTAAGTATGAGGAAAGGCCTTCTGCCGTCATGTAATGATAAGCAGACGGTGAAAGGATTTATCTGTCTCTCTGGTGAACTGTTCTAGCCCATCGTCCTTCTTCCTGCAAGGAGATGCTTCCATTACACCCACCAGAGCAGCTTGAAAGCAGTTGCCACCTCCACCAACCTGGTCTTCAGATTCAGAAGCAACACCATATCAGGCCAAAACCAAAAGAATTTTTTAAAAAAATATATAGACAAAAACATTATGGCACCTTAAAGACTAAAATGGCTATACAGTGGTGCCTCACATTACAATGTTAATTCGTTCCAGCGAAATCGCTGTAGAATGAAAACATTGTAAAGCAAAATTTAAAAGCCCGTAGAAACGCATTAAAACCCGATTAATGCATTCCTCTGGGCTTGAAACTCACCGTCCAGCGAAGATCCTCATTAGCCACCTGCACCAACCTGATATTCATATTCAGAAGCAACACCATATCAGGCCAAAACCAAAAGAAATTTTTCTTTAAAAATATAGACAAAAACATTATGGCACCTTAAAGACTAAAATGGCTATACAGTGGTGCCTCACATTACAATGTTAATTCGTTCCAGCGAAATCGCTGTAGAATGAAAACATTGTAAAGCAAAATTTAAAAGCCCGTAGAAACGCATTAAAACCCGATTAATGCATTCCTCTGGGCTTGAAACTCACCGTCCAGCGAAGATCCTCATTAGGGCGGCCATTTTCGCTGCCTGTTTTGCGAGGAATCCATCCCTAAATACAGCGGGGAGCCATCTTATTTACCTGGTGGCCATTTTGAAACCGCTGATCAGCTGTTGGAAAATCGTTGTTTTGCGAGAATCGGTTCCCGAAGCAGGGAACCGATCATCGCAAAGTGAAATTCCCCCATAGGAAACATCGTTTTGCGATCGCAAAAACTTTATCATAGTGCGATTTCATCGTCAAACCGGGTGCTCGTCTTGCGTGGCACCACTGTATTTTAATGTGAGCTTTCATGGACAAGCCCTCTCTCTCAGAAGCCATACTGAGTCTCAGTAAAATGCAGGTGCAAATTTTAATGTGAGCTTTCATGGACAAGGCCTCTCCCCCAGAAGCCATATTGTGTCTCAGTAAAATGCAAATGCAAGAATAGGTGATAGCTTTATAGATCACTAAAAAATTTACCATACAATACGCTTTCATGGACAAGCCCTCTCTCTCAGAAGCCATACTGAGTCTCAGTAAAATGCAGGTGCAAGAATAGGTGATAGCTTTATAGACCACTAAAAAAAATCACCATACAATATGCAAGCTTCATCTTCAGAAAGTGAAATCTATGGTTTAATTATGCACTCTGTGAAGAATACTTCCACGGCTCTGCAATGGATCCTCCACAGTTCAGCTTCAGTAGTGACTTTCAGGGGAAAGGAGAAGAATTAATTCCTTTTTCCACATCATGCATCATGTTATGCACTTGCCTGTCTCCCTCAATTCACCTCTTTTTTTTAAATCAAGTATTATTTCGTATTTTTTAATTTATTTATGTATTAAAAATATTTTCACTCTGCTTTTCTCCTTTAAAAGGACCCAAAGCAGCTTACACTGTGGAAATAGACAATGTTTTAAAGCTAAAAACAGGAAGTATACAAATATTTAAAAGAATCAAACAAATGCCACACTAAACATAGTAAATAGAATCAACATGAAAAAACGATTCAAAGCAATAAGGCGCCATACTCCACTTTAAAAAAAAAACCCTCCCGGACATCCCATCACTAAAGGGAAAGCCTCCCTGAAGTGAAGAGTCTTCATCCACTTGCAAAGAACAGCAAAGATGGGGCCAGCCGGGCGTCCTGTGGGAGGGAGTTCCAGAGGTGTGGTTAATCATTGCCGATAGACCGATCCTCCATGAAGATTCTTTATTGCCTTTGAGAGCCATTTTGGCTGGCAGCCATCACCATTCCTCTGCCCTTCACTGGCGCAGTAGCAGATGCTGTAGCAACCTCCCATGAATCTGATCTTTGGGACACCAGCTTCCATAATCCCCACGTCAACATGGCGAAAAGGGTCAAGGATGATGGATGCTGTTGTTCAGAACATCTGGAGAATACCAATTTGAAGAAGGCCCATGTAGGATTCATATTTTTAAAGTGGTCTTGTTGAGTCCTGGGGTACCAGAGTCATAGATGGCATTGCAGGTGGTGGCCTTCTGATGTCATAAGAACAAAGCCGGATCGTACCCAATCTTGAATATGGGTTCCATATGAGCCACCAGATGTCTCCAGAAAGACCCCGTCTGTGACTTGGAGGCTGTAACCCTCTTCTGTAGTTGCCTCAAAAGCATACAGCAGATTTCCACGCCATGGTGTGAGTCTGTTGTGTCAGACTACAATGCTTGTCATCCCGAGCCAGAGAAATGCCACTTTTGACCCTTGTGATCCACTTGTGGTGTTATTGAGTCCCTTGCCATTCGCCTCAACAGTTTCACACAAAAATCTTTTTCTGTTACCCTGCTCAGAAAGACAAAGGCTCAAGTTAGGAATCTCTAGGTGTGTTGACCATAATTTCCTAGCAAGCACGTGTATTCCAAATTAGGATGATGAGTTTTAAGATCACAATGACTTTTCCTGCAGTAATTTTCTTCCTTATCCGATTAAATAACAATAATCGGATAAGGAAGAAAATTACTGCAGGAAAAGTCATTGTGATCTTAAAACTCATCATCCTAATTCATTGTCCTAAATCTCATTGATAGTCCCAATTAGAGTAGATCAACTGAATCCGTTACTAAGTGGTAAGTCAACCCTTGTCTAAGACCCATTGACTCAGTGGGTCTAACTCTCGATGGTCCTACCAGCTGAATGGATGCCATGGTATTGTGGTTCTCCCCTTGAGTTGGCTCTCAAGACAACTCTTAACTTTCCTTTCGCAGGCAAGAAGAACTCCATCCTTCTCCACAAGGTCCAGCACGATCTCAACTCGGGGGTCTTCAATTACCAGGAGAACGAGATCATCCAACAAATTGTGCAGCACGACCGAGAGATGGCCCACTGCGCTCACAATGTCCAAGCCGCTGCTGCAGCAGCCGCAGCCGCGTCCACCCCAACGCCAGTTATCTGGACACCGCTTATCCAGGCCCCGTTGCAAGCTGCTGCGGCCACTACATCGGTAGCAATAGCGCTGACCCATCACCCTCGCCTTCCAACCGCCATTTTCCGCCCGCCCGTCTCCGTTTTGGGTTCCCTGGGGCAGCCGCCCAACCAAACGCCGAGGCACTTGCGAAGGCTTCATTCCTTGGTGTCATTGGCTGGGCCTTCTGTCATGGGCTCCCCTTCGAGCACGCCGTCTCAACAGCATACCCCGGGAGCTGAAACCCTGTCATCATCCTCCTTCCAGATCCAGCAGCTGGCAGGGTTTACAGCCGCCGCGGGCTTAGGCCAGTTCCACCGGGCTTCCGCTGGTTCTCCTCCCACTGGCTCGGTTCAGCAAGCCTTTGGCAGCCCGTCCTCTACAGGGTTAAGCCAACCGCAGCTGGGACCTTCAGATCCGCCTGAAGGGACGGCGTTGGACAGCAACCTGTCCGGCGGCTTTGGCCCCTTCCAGAAGGCCCCCGCTGCTCGGGCGCCGTCTACTACCCCTGCCGCCGCTGCCTTCACTCAACAATCTTCGAATCCACCCAGTAGCCCCCTCGGCCACTTGCCACCCGCTTGCAGCCCCCTTCAAGGGGAACAGCTGCAACCGCTCTCAGGACCTGGAGCGCTAGGAGGGACGAACCACCTCCCGTTGACCCCCTCGTCCAGTCCTCCACCACCTTCTAGCTTAAGCCAGCTGACACAGGACTCCGGAGGCTCCCCTCCGACCTCGTGTCAAAGCCAGTCAAGTGCATTAGAACCTTCCGCCGCGCCCGCAACAGTCACTCAGTTGCACCCCGAAAGATCACCCTTTGCCTCTACGTCTCCATTGAAACAGCCGTCCATCCCTCCTCCTTGGTACCAGCTCCTTCCAGGCCTTAGCCCTCCTAGTCAAAGCCCCACACCCAGGACTTTGCAGGGTGGTCCTCCGGGGCCTCTGGGCTCCCACGGATCGCTGCTGACGCCTCAGACTTCCAGCCCACCTCCACAGATCCTCCAGCCCAGGAGCACGCCCTCGCTTCCACCAGGACGATTGACCCAAGACCTCAAGCCGATTTCTGCTTCCCAACCGTCTCTACCCCACGAAGTGGCTCAGACTTTCAGCCAAGGCTCTTCGCACTGCAAGCTTCATCTTCAGAAAGTGAAATCTATGGTTTAATTATGCACTCTGTGAAGAATACTTCCACGGCTCTGCCATGGATCCTCCATAGTTCAGCTTCAGTAGCGACTTTCAGAGGAAAGGAGAAGAATTATTCCTTTTTCCACATCATGCATCATGTTATGCACTTGCGTGTCTCCCTCAATTCACCCCTTTTTAAAAAATCAAGTATTATTTCATATTTTTTAATTTATTTATGTATTAAAAATATTTTCACTCTGCCTCCTCTAGAGAGTCTGTTTCTAGCTTCTCATCTTTCTCTGGAGGAGGAGGAGGGGGAGGTGGGAGCAAAGCTCTTGGGAAGCCATATAGCTCTGTGCCGGGGAGAGTGACTCTACCACGCCAGATGTCCTCAGGTTCGCTGCCTCGGCCCCTTGCATTCGAGGCCAGTTGCGCCGTTTCGCCATCTCTGACTGCTGCAGAAGGGAGGAAAGGATCCATAGGGCTCACTGGGGATCGAGAACCCACCCGATCTAAACTGCCCTCCAATTTGTGACATTCCCCATCCCACCCCTTCCTCCTTCTCATCCTCCAGAGGATCCGTTTTTTTTGTTTTCTTTGTGCTTTCTGGATCCCTTCTCCCCACCCAAAAACGTTTACGCAACTTTGTGTTTTTTTTTCTCTCCCCCTTTTGTTTTGAGTTTAACTATGATTAGCGATTTGGATTTTAAAAAAAAAAGATAAGAACAATTGCAAAAAAAAAAAAAAATACAGAGAAAGAAATGGAAAAAAAAAAGATTACCAGGTACTCTTAGAGCTATAGATTTTCAGTCACTTTCTTTTATAGAGTATTTTACTACATGGAGCAAAGGATCAGAAAGGGGAATGTAATCAATGTGCAGTAGTAACCCAGAGATGAGATGCAGAGCTGACACAAATGATCAGCCAATGAACTAGCAAAATTGGCTTCCCATGGAGAGTCAGACCGCAAATCGGTGTCAAGGGCCTGCGCGCGCATGTGTTGGTTATGTGCAGTCACTTTTAGTTGATGCCACCTGGAAAGTTTCACCATTCAATGCTAACATCTTCAACTTCTGATTAGACTTGAATAGGCTTAGAAAGGGGGAGGGGGGTGTCTTAGAGAACTATGCATGCAAAACGAAAGGACATTTGTTCCCTGGAGGGATTGGAGATCATTTCGCCAACCATTTTATAAACTTTGAAATTCTTAATTTGTCAAATTCAAAACAAACCGAGATCCAGATCCTGTTGTCCAGTGAAATTTGAAAGCTTCTGGGGCAAATCACGAATTCCAGAGCAAAAATTCAGATGATCCCACACGTGTCTCAACCAGGAAGGTGGAATCATACATCACTTGGAAGTCTAGAATCTATTGAGGAAAACTTTATTTTAGCATGCCAGCTGCCCAAACCCCCCATGTGAATTAAGTGCAGAAAGGTGCCTGCTCTCTTGTGTTCTTTTTCTGCTGAAAATTGCTTAAACCCCCCCCTCAAAAAAAAACCCTATATTTAACAAAGGGCTCTCCTGAATAAATATTTGGCAATTTCATTGGGTGAATAGTAGCGAACATTCTCCCGAAAGTCAAAAGGGGATGGACCTTGGGAGGCACTGCAAGAACATCTAGAGTGTGTAGGATGGGGGTGGGTGGGTCGGTGCTTCCTATTTTAGAGGGTGCCCCACTAACCTTTCTCTCCTTGACCCTTAAAAAAAAAAAAGAATAAAGGCAAGACACTGTACATGGTCATCGGTTTCTTTAAACCTCAAACGACCTTGGAAAAATGTTTACATAATGACACTGCATAGTTTTCAGGGGGGTTTGTATGAGGAGGAAAATGGCCATACTCGTGTGCTGGAGGGGAAGGTCATTGTTTTCCTCCAGCGTGGTGTCCCTCAGAAAAATGCAACCTCATTATGCGGCATCTTTTGAGCACCACCCTGAACAGATATTTAAAGCAACCCGCTGCTGCGCATCAGCACCCTAATCAGCAAAGGAATCAAGGCTTTGTCCAGGATGTTAAAGTATAGAAGGCATGGAAATCAAAAGGTAAACCTACTAATATTTGTTCGGAAAAATAAATGGCAACACTTCCCAGTATTCTAGAAATGGGCAGGAACCGGCACAACGGTGGTTTGTGATGGTTCGTGGTCTGTCAGTGTCCACAAACCACGAATCGTGCCTGTTTTTTGAAAATAAATGAACCAATTTGTGGTTTGTTCGGTTCGGGCCTATCTCTAAAGGAAGGGGGGGGCTTTCTGTGTAGCTCATCAACACAGAAAGCCCCGTTCATGGGTCTCCCGTCCCATGCCCCCCTTCATGGCCACCAGCATCTACCTGGCTTGCTTCAGGCCTCCTCCTCCTCCTCCTTCGTGCCTGTTTTTTGAAAATAAATGAACCAGTTTGTGGTTCGTTCGGTCCAGGCCTATCTAAAGGAAGGGGGGGCGTTCTGTGTCGCTCGCCTCCCGTCCCATGCCCCCTTTCATGGCCACCAGCACCTACCTGGCTTGCTCCAGACCTCCTCCTCCTCCTCCCTTCTGCCACGGCCACACTGCCCAGCTCAGTCGGAGACTAGGCTGTCTGGTCTAGTTTCTTTTAGCCTCAATTTTTTTCTCAATATTTTGTTTCCCAAAGTCGCCAAATGATATCAGAAATGCGTATTGTTCCACCCATTGGTCAATTCACCACCAGGAATTTTGGGTTATTATCATCGACATCTGTAATTTGACTTTCAGTAGTCAAGAATTAATCGGGAAGCCAATGTTTGAACATGCTGAAATCTGGATGTTTGCAAAATGGATTGTCTTGGTTTCACTTGTACTGTCAAAATAATTCGGGTATTTATTTTTTTAAAGGGTGAGGGGTTCAATGTTACTCTTGCAGCTGCTGGTTTCTGAAGCTTTGAGTTCCTCTGGAGAAAACGAAATCATTATACATTCAGCCCTCATGTCTAATATTACATGCGTGGGTCTGGCTGTCTGGCTCCGTTATGCCCTCTTGATGTTTTGGGAAACCTCCGTAAGATGGCAAAAAAAGTTTACTGGTCAATGAGTGAAGTTGGCAGAGGCCTCCCATCTTATGTTAGAATATCCATGAGAAGTGCCATGCGCTCTACCACAGGACCCTGTTCGCTGTGTAGCAACACCCCAGTTGTGGAGAAGTCTCTCCCCTGGCAAGGAAGAAAAATCAGGAAGGGTGAGAAACATATCTAAGAGATTTGACCTCCCTTCCATTGGGCAGGTGTGTTTGTTACACGATCAAGGAATCCCAACTGGCAATCGAATAAGCCCCCTTCTTCCCCCAAGCGGTCTCTGTTATCTTCCCTCACCAGTAACTAATTTTTACACACTTAGCAACTGCACCTGTCTGGAAACGGAAGGAGACATCGGACATTACTGTGTTTGGTTATACGAGCAATAATATTTCCTGGCTTCCCCAGTGAGGCGAGGAGAGTCCTGGCATGTTTGGTTAGCAGGATTTTGATCCTGCAGTAGAGTGGCTGATAAGCCACGGGGAAAGCAGCTAATCAATGTTCCTCTGTCTTACAGTTCTGCATCGTTATCTTCCCATCCTTTCCCTTGCCGCTCTTTCGACCTTCTCCCTTCCTTCCGTCTGCCTCCCTCAATGCCTCCCTCTCTTGAGCCCTTTCCATCAAGTGGTTCCAACAACTTTTCTGACCCAGTCGTTCCTAGATTGTTTCTACGCCTTCATTGACCCCGAGCAAGGGATCGGAAAAGACAAGGTCATTCCCAGATCCATAGGAACAACAAAACTGGGGTTTCCTCTCTTATGATCAGTTGCTTCATTTTATACCACCACCACCCCCTTTTTAAAATCCTGTCTCAGAAAAAAAGCAAAATATCAAACCTTTGCAATGTGCCTGTTCTCTCCGAATGTTTGCCCCCCCCCCAAAAAAATATTACAAAGCTGCTCCGGCTTCAAGTGCTTTGCTGGTTGGAACTAAGCTGTAATTCAAAAGCTTCAGTCTTCCTTAAAGGTTCAAGGGTACTCTAGGGAAAAACACACACACATTCTTTTCTACTGAAAATACGACAACTACTAATAGTAATAATAATAATAATAATAATAATACTGCTATATAGATGTGTGTGTACAGATGTGCATATGCATCTGCTGTAAGCATATACACATCAATAGACGCACAACATGCACATACATATAGATATATATTCTAGTTTTAAAATAGATGCCAAGATTCACCCTCCTTGAAGGGGCCATAAGCAGCTAAGTAATATTAGTTCTTGTGGTTGAATCCAGGTCAAAAGCGACAAAGCAGCTTTAGCATTGAGTTGAAAGGAAACCGGGGTCCTCCAGAAGTTGGCAACCCACTCCTCCCATGACCTTTCACCCCTGGCCAGATTGGCTGGGGCTGATGGGAACCGGAGTTTAACATCTCCAGCAGGCCACAGGTTCTGTCGCTGTGGATTAGGTCTGCAGAGATTTCTGTCCGAACTTTAAGTCCGAAGCTTATTAGGTGCCCTGAGGCGGGGTCGTCCTCTTTCTCAACTTAGCCCACCTCACAGGGTTCTGGTGAGGACAACTAGTAAAACTGGCGTTGCTACGGCAGCAGGCGTCTGACAGAAATGCTTTCAACGGCACACGGCCCCAATTCACCTTAGCTGGAGTCACTGTGTGTGTGTACCTGTGTGTTACCCACATATGTACATCCTGCTTTCCAAATTGTAGAGGACTGTCCCAAGCTAAAAAGACTGTTAATTGACCTCTGTCCCACCTCCTGTTTAGATACCCATAGATTGCCAAAGCACGTTCTCTTGAACCGGCTCGGACCTGGAATGGCCGCCCATGACTTTGGAAGTCAATGGGTGCTGAAATTCAGCTGTTCTTCCCACAGTCCTCCTTTCATCGGGGAAAGCTGGCAAGTCTATGGGCCTGAGTTCCGATTCTGACTCTTTGGTCCCAAGCCCAAGTTCCTATTAAAAACAAGCTTTTTTCCTCAGGAAAAAAAAAGGGAGGGAGTGGGCGGGTTCTGAGGCGTGACTCAAGTTCAAGTCATTGAGGGGGG